AGTGGCCGAAATTAATCTTCAGTGTTTGACCTTCAATGTTTTAAAATAAGTAGAAAGGCAATTTGGATTGAAATTGGAGACAACGTAATTAAGTTTTTGTTATTTTAATGTTTCCACGACTATTTAACTTCATATTTTGTAATATTCCCGTTAAATTAAATGTTGAAAACTATATGAATAATTAACCTTAAAATCATAAGTCGCAAAATTGTAAATGTTTTCATCCACTATTTGATACTTTATGGCAAGTAGGTAAAAAAAACAACGAATAAAATGCCACATAAATATGTTACGTCTTTTCGATTTTCATTTCCGGGTTCGAATCCCGGTGGGGGCAGATGTCTGTGTGATGAATACGAGCATTTGTACTCCAGTCATGGATGTTTAATATGTATTTCTATATAAATATACTTATAAATTTACTGTATATATATTCTATCCGTTACCCTAGTATCCCATAACACAAGCCTTACAGTGCTTACTTTGGGGCTAGGCTAATTGGTGTGAGTGTTTTAAATATTTATTTATTTATAGCCAATTGTTTTTTTTTAAGTCTGAGAAATGCATGACGCTTTCATCGCGGTGGCATGTAGTCTCTTATATAAATTAATTAGTTTTCCAATAGGAAATCCTTTCAAAAATGGAAAAATGCTTTTCTTTGAGCGATCTCAGATTTATTTTCCCTTTTTTGGCAAATATTTCTATTATTCTTTGAGACCGTTTTTGTAAATGAGGAACAAATATGATACAATATTATTAATGATTTTACTGAATATTAATCGATCGGTTTTAAATGAATAATAATAGTCTAATCTTATTCATTTCATAACTTTTACTTGAATTTTGAATGCCAAATTGGCGAACATGAATGGACATTTAAAAGTTTAAAAATTTGTATTGTATTTTAACATGTTTCTTGTAAATAAACGATTTGATTTTGATCGTCACGCACACCCGTCCTCGAGTATCTAGTGACCATAAAAATAATAGTAATGGCGAATATAGAACCTTCGCCTTTTCAGAAATAGGTTAACATTCATCAATCTGCAGCTGGAAACTCCTGCAAAGAATGATACATATCATTCTGCATCGTTAAACTAATTTAAATGAGTTGATCTAGAGATAAGTAAAGGTCAGTCTTTTTTTGAGGAGCTCGATGGCGCAAATGATTAGCGCGTTCAGCTGCGATCAATGAAGTTAAGCAATTTTCGCAGTGGTCGGTCATTGGATGGGTGACTAAAAATTTACCATCCCGAGCTCCTCCATGCTTCGGTAGGCAGGTTAAGCCTTTGGTCCCGGCTGCATCTGCAGTCGTTAGCACCCACCAATTCGCACTGGGCCCGCGTGGCCCAATCTCCCTATTCAATCCATAGGGAAGTCCCTATGCCTGAACAGTGGGGACATTATTAGGCTGATGATGATGATGTATGAGGAAATCACAATTTTAGACGAAATACGAAGGCAGGTTTGTGATAAATATTATCAGTAATAACATTCAATAATCGTGTTACGTAAGTCGGAAGCGGTGCAGTACATAGTGTGTTAGTGGGACAGCCGGCCGCGAGCCTGCGCCTGCGCAGTGAGCACGCGCATCGTTTGATAAACAACGCATCTTACATTCTTAACACTATAGTACGGTGACCACACTATTACTAGAAATTAAAACTTTATTCAATTCAATTCATTTATTTCAGCCATTTAAATTACATAAAAAAACAAGAATAATAATAATAAAAGCATACAAATTACCATAAAAAAAAATACAAAATTAGAAATGTCAACAACAAAATAATTTAAATAAATACAAAATTACAATGTCAACAAAATAAATACAAAATAATATTATAAACTCGCGACCTGTAAATCGACCTGTACTTCGTAAGCGACCATCGTAAATTATGGTAATGGAAGATGACTTTAGAAGTGTCTCCGAAGTCATTTTCAAACTTCATGTCTCAGTATATAAAAATACAGGGAGAAAAGCACAGCCCTTTCCGAGTTTCTTGCCGGTTCTTTTCAGTACAAGGTCTCCGTTGTAGTTTTGCGAACCGATGGCGTAGCTTCTCGACCTTCACAAGGGATTGACATAGCCTAGACTGAATAAATAATTTTTGATATCGCACTTGCAATATACCTATTTATGTTGCAAATTGAAATATAAATACTTGAAAGATAACTATGGAGTGAATTTTCCAATAATTTCTTTCAATTATTGTGATTTGGTGCAAAGGAGACCTACGATTTTTGCTCAATTTTGTACCTTAGTACAAATTATTTCGAAAAACATCTTAAATTATACTCATCAAAATCTCAATCCAATTTAATAAAAATTGCTGAGAATCTGAATTAAAATAGGGAAGCTGCGTTTAAAGAAACATTATTAATTAGACGCATTTTGTCATTGACTGACAGATGATAGCTAATACTATTGGCTTGAATCCATTTCCTTGATTGTGATTGGTTGTATTAAAAATCACATGATATCCGTAGCTAATTGTTATTAACCGTAAAGATGCACATTTACCATAACATATTATCTGTGTTGCCATTAATATTTTATTTAATATCAATTTTATGTGGTACAAGTAGATAATATACTCCATTTATAATTTTAACGAATTTGGCATATTTTTCTACACACAAATGCATGATAACACTTGAGGTACAAAATTGGGCAAAGTTGTATGGAGAAAAGAATAGATCCTTTCGCGAATTATGCGCGTACACATATTTTGGAAATATTTTTTTATATAGTATTAACTTGGGAAATTATGATCAGACAAAAATATCATTGTTATAAAGCTCATTAGACTGTGTCACACACGTAAAAGTAGGTGTTATTTGAAGTTACACAAATAAATGGACTATTTTTCTTGCCGACAAAATGTAACACACTTTTGGCAAGTTAAATAAAAGTTTGTAAAATAAATAAAAGTCTTGCGTAGGTTGAAAATCAAGGGCATAATAAACCACAAATTGAACAGTCCGTCCCTGAGATCTAAAATATAGTGTTTACCCTACGTAACACAACATGCGGCTATTTTTGTCCTAGCACTACCCAATTACACAGAAGTTCCCAAACTTTGGACTTTTTTGGGATACTATTTTAATTCAATTCTTATTCAAATAGCTATTCTCTTTTAATGTAATGTTTGAGTGTGTAAAGTGGAATATTAAAGCAACCACAGAAACAGTTACTAGTAATGTATCATACTGTCTGAATGATCAAAATTTAGGGTTCTTTTCAGTCACTGTTTATCAATATTACTTATTAGCGGACTCGACAGAAATGGTCTTATACCGACTTAGATTGGGCGGACACGTACGGTTTGTAAATCCGATTCGAAAACCTGAATGCACGTCCTTACATACAAAATGTTCAACGAGGCGCACACTATTCATATTTTTTCAGAATGGAAAAAACCAAACACTCGGTTCGGACTCTTAACTAATGAAAAACTGAAACGTCTGCACTAGGCTCATGGAATTCCGAATCTGAATTCCTGATCAGGAAACCGTACATGTGCGCCTAGTCTAAAATATATATAAAAAAAGACGACGGGTTGCACTCCGGGAGTGCTGGCAGAAGTAAAAACTTGAATTTTAACGTTGTGCATTTTTATATTTTGAAATGGTTAGGGAATAATTTTGCATTTTTTGCTTTAATTATCAGTATAAAAGTACTATCATTTATGTGGTAGAATACAATATTTATTTATTGCACTATCGTACACAAACATGACAATTTATATTACATTTAAAAAGTTTATCTCTCAGAAAAATCAATTATTATACAGTATTTAAAGAAAAATAATAAGCGCACTTAGCAACATCTATTGTAAAGAAATCAATATACATGAATCACTTTTAAGCGTACCTAGCGACATCAATTGTAAGAAAATGCATTTTTCATCCCACCACCTCGGAAAGTGTAATTTTGCGCTTCGAAATCTGGCTGGAAAATTCTATTTTATTCGCTTGAGCGGCAAAGTAGATTTGAATTTAGAACATCACATATAATGAGTACTCAATATAATTGTAAATTCAAAACTTCATTAAACCTATTTAATGTAACCTCTATGGTGCCAAATTTATGATTAGAACTTTTTAAATTGTGAAAAAATTTAAATTTGGAACCTTCTTGGTTTCTTTGTTTTATTTGCGTGCTTCGCGCCATTCTAGTTTTTCACGTTTTATTGCTTAAATATTTTGTCATTATAAATTGTTTTCTTTTTCATTTTGTCATTTCCTCGCTGAGGTGGGATGAAAAGTTACGTATTGCACTCGAGTGGAAAGATTTTTCACCTTGTGCTCGTTTGTTTCCCTCGCTGACGCTCAGGATTCTAATTTAGAATCACTCGCTGCGCTCGTGATTCAACTTTAGAATCCTTCGCTTGCTCGGTCATCCAAATCGAGCACGCGGTTAAAAAGGAACTTTCCACTCTTGTATAATAAATAACTATTCTTCGCAATAAAACTGCCACCTGGACGTCCTAGATAGAGACTTATTATTATAATACTATAAAATAAAATATTACTGTTTCGTCCAATATATTGAAAGTCAACAACCTTTCCAATTATATTGTTTTCGTCAGATCCCCGATTAGGCCACGTGACGCGAGTTTAACATTTTTTACCCATACACAAAAAGTAAAACCAGTGATACGCGCGCAAGTTTATTATTTTTCCGTAACAAACTTCCACAAGGTATAAGAAAACTTTAAAAAAGATTTATGAAATCGGTAGAGTCGTTTCCGTTGTTAAAGAGAAATAGGGACTCATGTTTTATACACGAGTAGATACGATGTTATTATTACATGTTTCATAAAATACTGTTAATTTTTCAATGACATCAAATGAAATTCAACTTATTTAAACAAAAGAGAACTTTAAAAAGAAATAAGTAAGTAGTATAAACATATAATTAAAAAGCTCAGCTCTTAAAGATTGGACTAACATAACAGCACAATATGCAGCCGCTCAAAGCTTAGCTGTTCAATGCTCTCTGCTCAATTCATACACAAGGGGTACCTACCTACCTACGTAAAGTTTGGGAAGCACTGCGTAAACGCATTCCGTGGTAACGCAGTCGCGATGCGCGCGCCGGCCGGTCCCGTGGCCTGTGCCATACTCCTCGCTTCCTCTGCGGCCCTGGTACTCGCGCTCGAGGGAGGATATTATGCCGAGGAATACCATGAAGACCCCATTGATGTGTGAGTGTGGCGATGGTGTTGTTTGGTGCCAGTGATGATGTGGTGTGATTTATTTTTCCATGAATAAATCTGTGACACAACCGTAGGAATGATGTGCTGTACAAGTCAAATATTTTTAATTGGTACTTGCGTAGATTTTATTTAATCTGCGCTAGTATCAAGGGCTTTTTAAAAAATCTTAAATTATACAAAAGGTCGTTTGACTAATATCGGCTTTGTGCACTTTTCGAAGCAAAATTATTTCTTTCAATCTAAATTTCATAAACGATAAACATTGTTTATTTTTAACATCTAAAGTCAACTTTATCCTCTCATTATCATTTACAAGTTGAACCAAAAAGGTTAAAATAAGGAGGGCATTAGCTCAAGGTTAAAAAATGTGATCCGAGCAATATTCCGAATACCAAGTTACTAACAATTTAAAAGAAATAAGAACACAATACTTAAGTAGTATGTGTAATAAATTAAGCACAATTTTATGGTTTCTTTATAGATCAATTTGTATATAAAATACTAGTGGCTCGCCCTCGCCTCGCTTCGGTTTAGTTCTGTTTATTTATGTTCTAATATATAGCCTCCGACACTCACAAATCACATTGCTTCCTAATAATGGTAAAATAATATTCAGTTCGGTTAAGTAGATCCAGGGATTAGCCCTACAACCTCACAAGCTTTAGTTCTTTAAAATATAACTATTACTGTAATTATATAAAATTCTCGTGTCACAGTGTTTGTAACAAAACTCCTCCGAAACGGCTGGGCCAATTCTTATGAAATTTTCTGTTTATATTCTGTAGGTTTCAGAATAGGACGTAAACCACTTTCATACCTCTGATGAGGGTAGTCCAGTACATCCACGCAAAAAAATATTTTTGAACTTTTTGGTGTTTTTTTTAAGTTTGTTTTTTTACGATTTGCCATTAAAAATACATACAAACAAAATGTCCCCCCTTATTTCAAAAACCAAGGCGGTACGAAGTTCGCTTGGTCAGCTAGTATTTACTACTGTAGTTATATTCTTTGGTATCATTACATTAAATCAAAATCAAATATATTAAACCATTAACATAATAAATTCTCTTTTTTACAATTACGCAATAATCATCAACAACTTGATTCTCGATTAAATTTAATTAAACTTACTGCAATCATTTGTCAATTACCAGGGCAACATAAAGCGGCATGTTAAAAGGTCGTCGACTGCATTGCGCGTGCGATGAGCACACACATACGCATAACGCCAACCGATACAAACAGTAGGACCGCAGACCCTTCATCACGGTTCCCGGTACTGAGAATGTAACAGCTATGTATGATTCATAGTAAAGCTGTTTTTAGCTGGGCGTCCGTTTATTTTTCGTTTTTATAAAGAACTAGTGGCCCGCCCTCACTTCGCTTCGGTGTAAAGCTGTAGTTTAGACTAAAATGACTTTTCATAAAATTATAAAAAAAAACTGAAAATTGTATATTTGCCTTTTCCAAACTTCTATTGACATTATGACACTCAATAGTTTTGCCTTCTCGGAACCTCTCCACTAACTTTTGAAATTTATGGTATGGTATTAAAGTTCAAATTGACTTTTAAGTATTATTACGGATCGTTTGTATGCGAGTATAAAAAAGTGTTGTTTTTGGATTTTTCAGGCATTTTTTTTTAATTTTTATCTGCGTAAGAACCATAACCCCTTCAAGGAGTATTCTAAAAACAGAATTATCGAAATCGGTTCAGCTGTTCTCAAGATTTGCGCTTAGCAACAGATTCAGCGATTTTTTATAATATAGAAAAGAAGAAATAAGTAACTGATATTTATTAAAATATAACTAGAAAAAATTCCACGCGGACCAGGCAGCAGACGGGACTCGAACCGGACGGACTCACGGACCGCGTAGAAATTCTTCTAGCCATTCTTAAGCTGCAAGGCAGCGCCATCTCTTCGCATTATAGGTAAGGTAAGGTAGGTTTCTTTAGATTTAAACATCAAGCAGTTGCATGCTTTAAAAAATAAAAAATATGATATTTATAGCTCGCCGCAGTAGTGTTTCTAGTAAGATTTGACATGACTAGTATGGGTTCCGTACAGCAAAAGAAAAAAGGAACCCTTATAAGATCACTCTATTGTCCAATTTGTCTGTCAAATAAAAAGACTCTTGCCCTTTATCGTGCGAGCACGTGGAAGTAATTCTGGTTGTTATCTATAATTTATCGGAATTAAAATTGCATCTTTACTCAAACTCGTGTAGTCCGTCACAATGATGAAATATTTATAAATAAAGTAGCTGACCCAGCGAACTTCGTACCACTATAAAAATAGCCCCTATTAGGGGCCTAAGTACACATATTTAACTGCTGGATGTTTAAATAGCCATCCGGATAGCGGAAGATGAGGGTAAAAATCTTTGACCGAAGAAATTATTCAACTAAAATGATAGGATGGATATGTTTCGAATTTTTATGTACTTAACATTATGAAAACTAAATAAAAACGGTACGCTGGTTGTTTCAGGCTGCGTCGTCAGAAGAAGCCTGAAAAAGATACGAAACGTCAATAAATAAATTAATCAGTGCATCTATACCGTTGAAACTAGTTTCATTTAATGAGTGGTGTGCGTGAAAACCTAAGAAAAAATTATGAGAACTATCAGCACTGCCGGATTTAGGGGAGGACAACCGGGGCGAAAGCTCCGGGGCCTCCACAAACGGAGGGCCCCCACAATAGAGACTTCGAAAAAAAAAACTTTAGTAAACATCTTTTCGTTTCCGTTCGTTAACTCTAAGATTTAATTTCAGATAATTCTTGTTTCCGTTTATATTTATATGTGTTTGTTCAATACTAAGGAAATCTACTTGGTTCACAATAAATTATTTATTGAAAAACTCGACTGAAAAAAAATTGTTTACTTTATTTGGAAAATAATTTGGGGTGAGGGGGCCTCAGCTCCTCTGTTGCCCCGAGGTTCTGGACCTCTAAATCCGGCCCTGACTATCAGACTTTTTACCCGGCTGCGCAATGCAAGAGCGCGAAGCGCGACGCGCAGACAGGGTTATGTGTTTAACAGTCTATATATGTATGTTTGTTCCTTTGTGGCACACTAGAGACCAAACGCCTGGACTGATTTTGATGATTCATACATCAATCGATTCGTCTCAATCATGGGAGTGCTACTAAAGATATGATAGTAATTAAAATTCAATATGGGCAAAATTAGGCGCCATATTGTGACGAAGTAAAAAAAAAAAGTTGACAAAATATGTCGAATGGGATATCGCTGCCTAGATAATCAAAAATCATATTTAGGTTCCTAACACCATTTTTCATTTTATATGATTGTTTAGGATCTACAACGCTTTAAAGTTGTATATTAACCACTTGCACTTTTAATTTCAATCTTACGTTTGTATGGATCTTTGTTACTCTTTCACCTCAAAAATACTGAATGGATTTTAATGAAACTTAAGAGTAATATAGCTCATATATGATAATTACATATATATAATAAATTATGTAGTTATTGAGTGAATTGGCCAATATATAGCAATAAGTGTCACATGAGACGGAAAAAATGTCCCATCTGCGAGCCATTTTGGCCTGCACTGCAAAAACAATAAAAGTTACATGAATGTAATGTAGAGTGAAAATGTATCTCTTAAATAGTTCTAAAAAAAAGTCCCTGACACCATATATCTATTTTTAATGTGTAAGTCATTACCGCTAAAATAGTGAATCAAAACTAAAATATTATTTGATATCTATTTCCAAAATGCACATTTTGTATTAACAAATTATTTTTCATCAAAACAAATACTTTTATCGCTTTTGATATTTAAAGACGATAAACTTTGCCTTTTACACTATGTCATTTCGACAAATATTTAAAAAGTTACAACGATGACAAAGTGATAGCGCGGTGTACTATGTAAAAGAAAAAAAAATGGGGTATTCGCAGTATCTGATCCTATAAGAAGTACTAACATTAAAACTGTGATACAGTTCCTTCTTATTAAATGATGAAAAATATATTATCATAACAGGTATTTATGATTATTGAATTTTAATGAATTTTACTGTTTTTCATTTTTTTTAACGATATTACTTAAGGTTACAAAAAAGGTTTACTTAATATTATGACAAATAACCCATTTTTCGCTAGTAAGTACATACTTATTGGAATCCCTGTATTTATTAATCAGCTCGCGTTAATATTGGTTTTGTAATAATTATGCAAAATTCAAAGTAAATAATGTAGATTTTTATAGGTAAATCACCCCTTTCATTATAAGTATTGCGATGTTGTAGCTAAGAACCAAGTTCCCATCTACTTCTATATGGGAATTCATTAAATTCGATTTAGCTATTAGGGCACGGAAGCGCAACAAACAAACTCACTTTCGCATCTATAATATTATATTATACTTACTAGTGATCCACCCGGGCATTGTACGGGCGAAATTTATTTATCGGGATAAAACATAGCCTATGTCACTCGGACAAAATGTATTTAAATAAAGAAAAATGTTATAATAAATAATGTATGTGTATCCTTATGATGAATTAATATTTGAAACCGGTTCAATAGTTTGACAGATTATTTGTTACAAACATACAAATCTTGCCTCTTTTTAATATTAGTATAGATAGTTAGGATAAGATAAGTATTTAATTGATGAAAAATATTTAAAAATAAAGTAAGTTATATCCTCTTTCCTCGTCTCGCGCGTCGCCGGCGCCGAAGGCGCCGCGGCGTGCGGGGAATCTTCTCTGGCGTGAGCCACTTAAGATGAATCGGGTGCGCATCACATTAACGAATGTGACGGTCGTTGGGGCTATACCCCCGCCTCCGCTTCTTCACACGTCGCCCTCGGCGCGGTCAAGCCCACCGGGTGAGACCCATGAGGGAGGCCCAGTGAGCGACCTGCGAGCGGGCGACGGACTTCAGCGGGCGGGGGTGGTGTATTTGATTATATTTGTAAAAGTTACTTAGCAGTTGTGCTTAACAGTGAT